TGTACAAAGTTCTAGAAGTAAGAAAGCATGTCTCGTTAAAGAAACTGGGGAAAAGTTCAATATAGTTGAGTCTTGGAAATGGAGAGTGGCAGTATAGACAGATGAGGTATGCAATAACCAGTACGTGAAGAGCCTTGTAAAACATATTAAGGCATAAGGACTTTATCATAATGAAAACAGAAAGCCACTGAAGATTTAGGCCAAGGGTATCAGAATCATATTAGAATAATGCTTTAGAAAGATCTGTAACTTAAAAGTGGAAAATGAAGGTAGGGAGGCTAATCAGGATTCTCAGCATGCCAGGTGAGATGATGGTAGAATGGACTAAGTTAGTGATGCTAGGAATGAAGAGAAGTAGAAAGATTAAATTTTTGGAAGTAAAATAGACTTGGTAATTGGTTACATGTAGGTAGCGTAGGAAATACAAGAGTCAAGGATGTCACTTACAACTCCTGCTTGATCTGTGAGGGAAAGGATTGTGTCATTTGCTGAAATGAGAAACAGGAATTAAAGATTTGGGAGAAGGATTTGAGCTCTTGTTTGGACATGCTGCATCTCAGGTACTATGGGATAACCAAGTGCAAATAAATATTGGGCAAGCAATTGAACATATGAGTCTTAAATTCTGTACAGTGCTCTGATCTAGAGATACAAATTGGGGAGCTGTTAGGGTGCAAATGGTAACTCTGCAGCCATGGGAGTGGTGACATTGCCGAGTTGCTGTGTGGAGTGATGTGAGAGCAGGCTGTTGGACTGAACTCCCAACGCATACCAAAAATTAAATGTTGGGTAGAGAAACAGGAGTTGCAAATGACCTCAAATCCACCAATACTCCTGAAGCCATAGTTTGTAAATAAGTTTATATTCTTTTTGGCCAACTCTATTACCAGGCATGAAAATCTTATTTAATTTTTTCTTGTTTTTTTTGAGATGGAGTTTCGCTCTTGTTGCCCAGGTTGGAGTGCAATGGCGCAATCTCGGCTCATCGCAAACTCTGGCTGCCGGGTTCAAGCGATTCACCTGCCTCAGCCTCCTGAGTAGGTGGGATTACAGGCAAGTGCCACCACGCCCAGCAAATTTTGTATTTTTTTTTAGCAGAGACGGGGTTTCTCCATATAGATCAGGCTGGTTTCAAACTCCCAGCCTCAGGTGATCTGCCCACTTTGGCCTCCCAAAGTGCTGGAATTACAGGTGTGAGCCACCACCCCTGGTCGTCTTGATTTTTTGCTTCTTCTCCCTTTAATTGTAAAGTCATAAATTGGCAATGAGAGCACTGAAAAAGCCTGAAACTAATAAACATTTGTGAAGTACTATTAAAACATCATCTATGAACCACACAAATAGCCTTTGATTGCTCCATACCTGGCTTTGACTATTTTGAGCTTTCTATATTACAACAGATCTTTACTTACACTGTAATTTTTCCTCTATCAATCTGCAACTTTCACCTTTCCTGATTGCCTGGAGAGTCTTTAGTGGATCTGCAGCTTGGTAATAGCCTAGAGAGATTTTCTGTGGTCAAAACATGATTAAACAGAGATTTGTTGGTCAGAAGACAACCATGGACCATAATACCCACAAGGTAAAGATCCAGATGCAGTTTTGGGTGGGGGATTTACCTCATACGCTTTATTTCACAAAATGCGTTCTGTTCCTTACTTTCATATCTGTAGGAATAGACATGTGAATGTGGCTTCTAGGGTGTGCTGATGTATGTTTAACAGCTGGCTTTGAAGGGAAAATAAAAGATCTGATTTGTAGTGTTTACTAATTTTTTTGGTGTAAATACTCCCACCATGCCCAGTTTCAAACTACCAACTTGACAGCACTGAAGCCAGAAAAAATGTTCACAGTTGGCTCTTGTAAGCCGGTGCAAGCTCACTCCAGCACACTACTGGACTAAGAATGATCTGCCTGTAGCCAGGAATGGGAAAATACTTTGCCCATGACAACTTAAGGTATGAGAGAACAGAATTCTACAAAATACAGTCTTTACTTTAAGAAAAATGGATTTACTCATCTACAGTCTGTTTATCTGTAGACTTTGATCTTTTTTTTTGAATTACAGGCTGGCCATATGAGTACGCATTATATAATAACCTTAGCATTGTAACTTCTATTTCTTTATTCATAAGCAATAACAGTTTCTAAAACTGGCTTGTATTTGTGATGAGAATAATTTTCAATCTAATTCCTTTTTTTTTTTTTGAGACGAAGTCTTACTCTGTTGCCCAGGCTGGAGTGCAGCGGCTCGATCT